CTAGATATTAATATAGGTGTAAAACTTGGGCACTGTGGTAGAATTCAATTCCATATTAGATTCATTTATTTGATTTATCACACACAGTGATATAGTATTATTTACTTAATGGCGTTTCGAGCAGTCATTTAAAATAGCCTAACATAGGAATTTAGCTAAAATATAGAATGACAGACCCAAATAAGATCAATAAGGTAGAAAAAACTCGGCTATTGCACGGTATGCATTATCACACAACCACAAAATATGTCGGATATAACCACTCCACTTAACTCCAATATAACTAGGTGGAGAGACAGATTGATTACTGAGTCTTTGTTAATCGAATCAACACGGAAAAACATGTATTAGGAATGACACAACACCTATACCAGAGATATGGAAAATTTAACTGCCAATAAAAACAAATCATATGGAGGGATAAGACTATAAAAATCAGATATTGAAAGTAGTGTGGTTACATTGATATGATTTTGAGGAATAATTTATGCTCGAGACGTCATCGAGTAAATCATACTGTATGATTGTGCAATATATATCAAATAAACGAATATAATAAGAAATGAAACTAGATATATGTGTTTAAACGGAATCAATTGCCAATCTTCAACGCCCCTGGTCTCCTAATTTCTCACTCTTCCACTTGTTCGATTACATAATTATCCTATCATTCGACTTTTAGTTAACACTACACATCAATCTTAACCTACTGAGTCCCACTCATTATACTCTATTAAATTCATATATATATATATATATATATATATATATATATATATATATATATATATATATATATATATATAATATGAAATGATCTGAAATAGTGCAGTAAATTCTCATCAAGAATCATTATTTGGTTTTAGTTTCCCATTTGCTTGCACTTATGCATCTGTAACATGGGAGAAAACCATGCCAGCTGTGAATCTGTTATCCATGGACTTAACTATTGAGATGACTATGAAGACACTGGTAACTGGTAATCAAGTGTTAGTGCACCCAAATAGGATCACTAATGTAGAAAATAAAAACTCGGCTATTGCAGTGTATGCATTATCACACAACCACAAAATACGTCGGATATAACCACTCCACTTAATTCAAACTGCTTGCTGGTAAAGTCTTTATCTATGCAGCCAACAGGCACGAATTCAAGTTAATAGTTCCCTCGAGTTTGCCGCCATTTCCAAGTGACTGATATCAGAAATTAGTAGGTCAAACGAAGCACAACTTTATGTTGATTCCCTTCAACTTAACCACATGTTACAGTAGAATTATTCAGTCAATATAATCCTTTTGTATCATTATCAGTTAGATCAACAGATATACCTGCTATGAAGACAAATAAAAATTAATCAATAATGTATGACCTTGATATACTACTGGACTCAACTTCATCAGTCCATCCACAACTTTCAATACTTGAATATTCTGTGTATCTCATAAGTACGCTACTCAGAGTGGGCATGTGAAGAAATTCGGTTTTAAATTTGAATCATCTGGTGTAACGGATGATAGTGCTGCGAAAGAATTCAAATATATCAACAAAGCCACCACATGAAAATACTTAGAAGGGGTACCTAGGCTAGATATAACAGTCTACTGACTGAGTCGAGAATAATGAATCGCCTGACTCTTATGAAACTGTGTTGTACTCTTATCCTCAAACATCCTGGAAGAATATCTGCCGCAGAATACCATATACTCATCAAACTATGTATACTGTTTTGTGCATTGTGCATAGCATTTCCATGCCTTTTCAGTATCATCAAGACATGAAAAAAATAAAAGTGGTTTTAACTGAAAATTGAAACGACACATAAGACATCACTGATAAGAATGATTGAAAAGCTGTACTTCACTTATTAGTTTCGCTTAGAAAATTCATTCCCCTGGTTTTAAAATATATTTGGTACTCAGTTCTACTCTTTCTCGTTCACTTCATGAATACTGTCACCGAAATTATGCTCTTAACTTTCACCAATAATTGTGTAGTAAATGTGTTTTGCATTCTGGTATTTATCATCTTATTAGCAATCTTAACACAGTGTAAAGGGTGGAATCATAACAAGCTAAACTTTTGCGGTAGAGTAAATAAATGACAGAAATCTTCCGAGAATAAGGTTGGATTGGTCTTAACCTCATTCATTACTCAAACATATTTTTGAGGATGCAAGCATTACCAGCAATAACAACAATCAAAAACTCGAAATTCATTAGCTACTTTATCATCTTCCTTTCTGATTATGGACTACTTATTTATTATCCTAGTGGTACAGACGTTCATACTGTTTAAATTTCTTTGGAACAGTATTTACTACTTAGTGATATATGGAGTTCCAAACTACTCAAACAGCCGAGTATGACTGTAATATTCGCATTTTTAATACCTAAGATGATAAAAAATTGATCCAACACTCCAGTATGATCATTCAGATGTTATATGGAAGTGATGCAGGGTTTTACTTCATAGTAAGAGGTAGTTTTGACACCTCAGTGGCACAGTCGACAGCACTTTGGCCCTTGAAGCGGTTAACACTGGGTTTGAGTGCCATTGAAAACACTATCACTAAATGAAATCGAGATATACCCGAAATGTGCGTCCTGGATCCCACTACTAGCCATCAAGTACACTACAATATGATAAACATCCAGGCACCATTGAAGCATCTGCCTATGAGCCATATGCTAACTGAGGTCAAACAGTTGGTCCCAGTATGACAGCAAGGAATCTTCAAGCATTAGTGAATAGATTATATCTAGTTTTTATGCTGTGGTAATGAATTGAAAATTCATCACAAATAAGTGAACAGATATTCCGTCCCAATTTAAAGACTTCTTTGCAGTGGATAACCCCAAAGTTTTATAAGATATGGCTTTGGAAATTCAAGTATTTTGAAGAACTGATCTACATTTAACGGTTGATTAAAAGTCTAAACATTCTTATCCGTTTATTTTAATTAGTCTGAGATGCAGTATGTAACCATCTGTTTTCCTTGATGAATGTCCATCCCCAGAATAGGCACGTCAGGAGTCATCGTGACACAAGGTAATTTTATAAACTAGTTGCAGCAAAATGTGATAAATTTTTATTGTAAAAGCTAAGCTCTCGGTTACTCAATAGCAAAGAGATAATATTCTACAGAATTAGGTGAGTAAACGCAAAGAAGATTGACATCGTCCAAATATGATCCGCGTAATCCATCAGATATCTTAAATTTTCTCACTGAAGCAGGAAGTTGCAAGTTGTCGGTAAGATGAGAAACAGCAGAACATGCAACGGTGGGGACTTATTGGTGCATATTAAATGCCATGTGTTTTTGTTCGCAAGTAACTATAGCTACCTGATGTGAAATTCCTGGCCACATCGCAGTGTACAATAGTTTTAGTATTATTACAACTCATAGTTTAGTATAACAATATGATAAAGGTAATTTGGTGCCAAGTTGCTATGTCTTCTTCAGCAGCGTTGAACTTCGAAGATATAAACTTCCCACTGTGATGAATGAGTCAGAACAAACTCTATATAAGGAGTAACTTCATGATATTTTTCATGTCAGAAGAACAAAAAAGATCAAGGTGTCGGCAAAATCGTGATATTTGATTCTATATCGACGTATATAGTTTAGGTCTTGTGGTGTCCACAAGTGCATTCAGTCAACTAATTGAAATCCAATGATCTACACTCCTATTTTCTCAATCTGTAAAATAACGAGGTTTTTATCAAATGTCACTGCTAAATGTCTGTCCTCACTCCATGTACAGATGACCAGAGATAGCTTCGAAACTGGTCACTAATAAGTGTTGAATTACAAATATTTCACAAGTAAAAATTGTCTTTCCCAAAACTTTGAAATTCTTAACTGCTGCATCAGCATGAGCAGAGTAAATCTATGATATGTACTGATTAACAACTAAAAATTACTCAAACTTATTGCTATTTGTTGATATGCTTATAGTTCTCCATTGTTTTACTGGATAGAATTGTTTGATCTCTGTTGACATATGGGCTCCTATCTGGATGCAATGATATTGCCTAGATGCTAATTACGGTAGTTTACTTGTTTTGTGGCTAGCAGAAGAGTCCAAGATGCGCGTTTCGTCCTATTTAGAACTCGTCAGCTAGATATGAGTGTTCTTGCCACTGAGAATCGAACAAAAGTGTCATGATATAGTAAAATATACCACTGAATTAAATGAGTAGTTAGAAGCCACTCAGGCTGATCCGTAAATTTTGCCGTGATATGTTACAACCTGGCCGTCATTGTCGTCTGTGACGTATACTTTGTCTGCGTGTATACCTGCTATTTCTTCGTTCATCAGAAGCAATACCCAGACAAATGATAAGCCATTATTCTCACACACCCCCCCCACCACTTCTCTCCTGTATTCCTTCTTTTCTTAGAACAGTCTCGCTGATAACAGAACATCTGGTTCTATAGCATTCTAACGCATTCCTGTTCTCACATAGTTTCGATCGTATACTCAGGCAAATTATGATGTGCAAAATCCCCCTCACCTATAAAATTCATGGAATCTCATTGTCCTCCTATTACTCAGATCCAAGTCTTTTGGTAACACAGTCAGGTATATAGCCAGTCGATAATCTAGACTGTAATTAAACTATCTGCTTTTCACTCACTTAAAACCGATTGACGGATACTGACTGAGATAATTTTCTATCTCCTAGTGTAGCTTAGTCGTCACGTAATAGAATGCAACATATCCATCAGATAAAGCAACAGTGAGGCTGGCATTTTAGAAATTTTTGCTAGGAACTTATACAGCAGGTTTCACATTTGTTAATCCTATCACATGAGCTGACTTGGTAACTTCTGAAATCTGTTCTATACTTCAACCAGAATCACTACTGTCAACCTATTCACTTCTATCATTAGAATAGCAACACAAAATACTCGAAGACATTTATTATTATGAATAAAGATAAGCTTAAACTTTGTAAAAATAGAAAAAACAAAAATAATGCTCATAAAATTCTTGTTCTTTACAAAATTATACTCATTATAAAGTAATAATAACAAAAACTTTGCCCCTCATACATTTTTCTTCAATTAAATTTTTGTGAATTTCTCTTGCGCCAACGTACACGACGATTTTGAAACCATATTTTAACCTGTTTTTCTGTCAGTTTTAAATTTTGCGCCAGATGAATTCGATCAATACGAGATAAATATTGAATTTGACTGAATTCACGTTCTAAACAAATTAATTGATAGTCTGTAAATGCAGTACGATTTCTAGAATCACTTTTTGATTTTTTTAATTTAACAGAAAGATTTGTAGTTTTTAATCCATTAAATTCATCAGAACAATTCTCCTTATCACTTGAACATTCAACGTTATAACGTTCGAATTGACTTTTCATGAGTAAATTAGTAAACTGATCTTGGCTTGTCGGGGTGAAGTTGTTAGGAAACTTGAAACCTGTAAGTTTATAGAAAATAAACTTATAAATCAGTTACCTTAAAAAGAAAATTGCCAATATTGCCTATGCATAACAAATACGAGTTTCAGGTGAACGATTTCTTGTGTACTATTCCACACACTTAGTACTGAATATTAGAGAAACCGGGGTGTTTCCCCCTACTTGACGTCTACAGTCCATCTCCCGACCAATGAAGTAATTAAATCCGATGCATGGTCGTTTCAGTGACAGACTCTCGTGTTATAGTTAGTTGATAAAAAATCACAGAAACTTTGATGATTAATCTTGTACTGAAGGATGAAATGCATTCTAAGCTGACAGAAAATAATATCTCTAGGTAACATTCAAAGTTACCTCTTCCGGTATCCAACTGACCGAACTCACTATGAAGTAGTTGTCAAAATCCACTGAAGTATCATGTTTTACATGTAAGCATATAAGTATTTTGAAAATGATAGTTATACATTCCACTTTTTCCTAAATCATAAGAAATCACACATCATTCTCATCAATACCTATATCAGACAATGCAGCACTTCAAATCAGAGAAAATTTGTCAACCATTTTACTCTAATTTACAAATTCTGTTTCGTGATGAGTTGAAATTTTTACCAGCCATAAACCAAAAGGCTTCAGATTTTGATCGTCTGAGGGCAATTTCAATCATACCAGAACAGTTTTGATTACGGATCAATCTGAGCTTGAGAAACACTAAAAACTACGAAGTAGTGGATAGATATTTGATCCTAGCATGATATAACGGCAGTTTTGATAAGGTTGAGTTTTCTGAGTTCTCTGGGAACTCAACCCCATCAACATTATTCTTCTGAGCTATAAATATTCTCCATCAACACAACATATTGACAGTATTTATCCAAACCTCCATATCAGACGGAACCCCTAACCATCAGATCTGACGGAGAGCATGTTTTCATAGGTCAGAATTTCTCCAAATACGCCAGTTTTTCGATAAATTGGAGAGATGAACAGTCTTGTACACTAAATGATGGATCGTGGATAACAGTGGAATCCAGGATGCACATTTCATCCTATTTGGGACTCGTTAGCCGAATGTACCTGCTTCCCAGCGAGTGATGTTGTTCCCACCGGGATCCGGACTCGTAAGCGATCGCTTCGAACGCCACGGCGTAATCCACTACACCACCGAGCCACCATATGCCGACAGAGACCGATCAACGATTGTATGATATAAGAACAATTATACTAAAACTATACCCATTGCACAAGAAGTAGCTATCGTGCCTCGGTGGTGTAGTGGGAAACGCCGTGGCGTTCGAAGCTATCGCTTCCGAGTCCGAATCCCGGTAGGAACAACATCACTCGCTGGAAAGCAGGCACATCCGGCTAACGAGTCCCAAATAGGATGAAATATGCATCCTGGATTCCACTGATAGCCACGATCCATCAATAACATATAGTTAGAACACAGGCAATATCGAGGCATGCGCACAGGAGCCCATATGCCAATAGAGACCGATTAATTAAGTCCAATCAACGACGGTATGATATAAAAACAATTATACTAAGTCTCGCATACTGATACTACAGAAAATATGTGAGTGTAACTATCATCGTAAAGTGAGATTAAGGCAACAGGGGGAACAAGAAAGGCATGTTATTGAACAAACGAACTGATGAAATGTAATGACTGGGTTTCGCTGTGTTGGGACTTTCTCATCCATCAGGTCGATAAGAATGACAGCGATTCCTTCTGTTAATTTTAGCTATCAATTCCCAATTGTTTCACAGTAAGCGGTGTTCAGTAGACACGTGACACCTCCCACCAATCAAATGGCTTACTATCATACTTATGTAAGTTAGAAGGATACGTCTATATTTAGAAACTGATTTGTTGCTAGACTTTGAATTTAAAGGCGACAATACTGCGGACATCCCTTGCAGTGATTATCTCTGTCTCTTGGAATAACCCGTTTAATTGTTAGCATCCAAATCATAGTCTCCTCCCAGAAAGTCATTCTCCAGTATCTGAAGAAGGAGGTGAACTATATGAACTCTATAAGAATCCGTGAATCGGTTTACTTGTTCCTATGGACATGACTGAATTGACTGCACTATGCTCCTACTTGAAAAATGTATTCATGGATACTTTTCAGTCTTGTTGGTACAGTTAAATGTTCAACTTCATAACAGAATACCTCATGAGCTTGAAATATTCAACTTCATTGTACAAAGTACTAACACACCATTCTAAAGAAGTAAATCCGAAACTTAAGAGTTCCAACCGTTTCTATGCATTCAAAAGAAGTATGGTAAATCTCAATCTTCATCAAAGAAATCATAGGGAGTTGGTCATTCAAGAAAATTCTGCTTTGATATAAGTCCACTTCACTTTTGAATCCTTTGAGAACTTTCCGGCCAAGCTAAATACTTATCTTTATTACATAACTTCTCTTTAAGTGTTCAGTGTATTCTGACATCTGACTGAATACTGGTTTGTAATACATTGACTGGCCACTGAAGAGTAACCAGTTTCATGTTGCCTAATTTTAAGTGCTGACCGAATTCTGTCGATCATTTTGCAATAATGCCACCAAGCTAGGAGGCTCACTATAGCGGTGAACTTTGATGGATGTAAGTTGATTGGAGGTGATGGGCAAGAAACCCAGCTGCACCTAGGTTTTGTGCTTGTTAACACTTGTCAGAAAGGTTCATCTGCACCCTAAAGGGAACCGATATCCCCTGGGAGATTTGAACCCGCGTCACCCAATATTATAGTCAGAAATATTACCACTGAGCTATTCAGGCTGTGATGGTAAGCCTCCAAGCTAGGCGTCCAAATTGAAAAATGATCCATAAACTTTGGTCATCACTCAGGACTAAACGACATGAAACTGATTACCCTCCAGTGACCGATCAGCAAATCTATCTCAGTCCTACAGAAGACCAATCACGGCCCGAGTAGTTAAGTGCGAAGGCATCTGACTGTAACAATGAGTGACGCGGGTTCAGATTTCATATGGGTATCAGTTCCATCGAGGTTGCAGATACATCCTGCCAACGAGTGTGACCAAGCAAGGTTTCGTGTCAATCACCTCCAACCGACTAACACTACTCAATAATGCTTCATCCTTTTTAGTTCAGATTCACAAACATACTGCTGGGGTTTGTCAAAGACTAGAATCTTGTGCTAATGACGTCATCTTTGTTCTTTTTCTTAGATCTACAGAGACTTGTTGCTGTGTGATGTAGTCCTGCGTAACCCGCATCCACGTACTCAGACACACACGTACACAGGAACTAATAAATAGCTTCAACTTATTTCCATATGGTATATCAGCATCGCCGGTATCACGTATCTTAGGAAACGAGAACATCTATTAATTTATGGAAAAGTTTTGTGTATCAAGTACGCCAATTGTTAGCCATAAGAGAAAGATATTATGATGAAAGAAAGATTCTAATACAGCCATGGATTGATTTATAGATAGGTAACACATTTATCTCCTGTTAACCTGAAAGTCACAAAACAAAATCAATAGTGGAGATTTATGTCGACCATTTGTTCAGTGATCTTGATAGATACAAATTATACGCAACTAAGGATCTAATCAATAGACTATGTCCCTTATCAAGTAGGCGAATGTAAACGGGATATTTATAGTTTGATGGGTAGATCATTTTCCTTGCCATTTGAAAAGGTTAAAAAGTGCCTGATGTACTACAGTAATTAGGCTATGTGAGGTAGCCTTATCCAGCTCACAAGCTGGTACACAGGATGTCATGTGGCTCAAGTAATACACTACTTGGCTAGTTAGTATCCTGAAAGCCGATAGGATTGATATACAACGGTGAAAAAGGTTTATACTGATCACCCTAGACAACTGACTTGAATGATTAGATTATCTGGGGTAGGTGACTCGAAATACACTACTGATGGGCTGAATTATAAATGAGTAGAATCCTCTCAAGGTGTTCCGGCCACTTCAATCTGGTTGCTGGGTACCCCTGACTTACATAAGGGGTCTACAGTTACCGTCGTCACATACTGTAATATGAATATTTTGGTTTCCTAAGGAAGCTACAATGAAACTTGGAATTTCAGTCTCACTTTGGATTGTATCTGTTGCAACGAAATGACTTGAAAAGATATTTCGCTAAGAAATACATCCAAGCAAAATCTTGTCAGTAAATAATTTGACTTCATTTGATTTCTAGATGACGGATGATGACGCGATACAACCTTTTGTCTTATTCCCTTCAAGGTTTCATAATCATTTCTGTAGACAAATCCAATATTGTTTTTTTAAATTGTCTGGAGTAACTGGTAACTAGTAAACTGAAACAGTCTTGTCTAAAATATTCTCCAATACTGCCATTTCTTTCTTGTTAATGAAGTGAAAATATTACCATAGGGATCACTTCAAACAACGTCAGTCACCAACTGAGTATGTGTACAGGCCGGATTGCTATAATAGGGTTACAGCTATATAATGATCCAGTCATGTGACTTCGAATACCATTATGAAATTAGACAATAACCACATCACGGAACAAGTTGAAGGCATAGAAGATAAATTGTGTCATGTAAAACGTTTCTATAGTATCAATCCCTTCGATGACAGTTTGCATAAGGAGCGTACGCCTTAGTTACTAGTCTGCTATGCACTTCTATAATCCATATTAGTGATTAAATTCGATCGATCCACATTTCAATTTGCTCACTCATATAAACGTCTTGGGACTACGTTACTCTAAATCGAACCTTCGAAGTTGTAGTTTGATTAATGAGAAGCTCTGAGGTTTAGTTTCATACCTATTGGTACTCATCAGTATGGTATGTGTGCACAATGTTGAGAAAAGTTAGGGACTTTGGCGCACAATTTGGTGTTGAATTCTGATCTACTGTTTGCATTGTTATACGGAGGTCAGCTCCAAGTCTTCAAGCTTGTTATTCATTCAGCTGAATAAATGGAACTCAGTTTTCGCGAAAATAACGCTAAACAATTACGACCCCCCTCCAGCATTTAGTTTCACCGACCTGATAATATCAAAGAAACTTTCCATCCGAATTTTATGATATTTTCAGCTAAAGAGCACTGACCAACGACCTCTTACTAAAATGGAGTTCATGAACAATCTGTTTCCCTGACTTGAGTTCAAGTCGGAACTAAACGTTTCATTTTTTTCCGGTGAACACCTTATTACTTGGTTACTAAGTTACATTTATAAGATTTAGAGTTTTCTACTGCAGAATATAACAGTTATGAGGTTATCTTTCATTAAAAATGGGAATCATTTAGTGAATTATTTAAAATTAAGGATGATTGAAAAGCTCAGAATTACCTAAAAGTGCTTCCAAATGGTGAATCATTGAAGTTATGTCACGAGCACACTGTCGTTCTACATATGACTTAGAATTTAATAGTTCATGTTATCTTAATTGGTACACGATACACAGCGGTTAGTACAGCCGGTGTCATCAGTTGATCATCCGACAATAACCCATTGATAGAAGTAAAAGTATTCCTCTTGATACCTGAAATTCTTGTTTTCAGCTGACTATTTGGCTGAAGGTGAACACACTTGAAAAACTCTGAACTAGAAGAAAATCTGTCTATCAAACTTTGAATGTTTCATAGGTCAATGTAAGTCTTCCATAAAAACTTTACTTAAATATGTAACTTCTCAACTGTTTCTTAACTGAAAACTGATTTTCTGTGAAGGATATTCAGAATACGCTTATCATAAACTGACTATGAGGCGCATTTAATGAGATTGGTCAAGGGATCACTGATAAGAATAACTTCTTCTTTGTTTCTACTATAAAGCAACAATCCCAACAACGTCACAGTTTCGCGAACTTCTTACTATTTCCATAAATTGTATACTCACCTGTAGATAGATACAAGTGAAGTGCTTTAGAATAACTAATTTTGTGTTATCTTGTTCGGAGTGCTGACTAAATCCAATCGACCACTTTTCAGTATGATCACCAAGCTGGGAGACTCAGTGTCATGCTACACATCGATAGATGTTAGACTAATGAAGGAGACTGCAAGAAATCTTTGGTCGTAGGTTTCATGCTTACTGGTGCTAGTTAACAATACGCATCCAACACCTTAAGAGGACTAATATCATCACACAGATTCGAAAGTACTTATTAAGACAAACTTGGTTATTCCTCACTTTGAGGTTTTGGAATTATACAAGAGTTTTGATAATCCAATCACTGGTCACTCGCGTTTTACATCTAAATATAAGCCAATTATTTACATTTAAAAATGTGCAGAGAGAAAATTAAATGAGAAGTTAATGGTTACTGACTACGCATCTATATGATAACTGAGAGAAAATGCTAAATGAATGATAAAAAAATAAGATGTGCTTCATGCTCAGTAAAATTTCCTCAAACCTCCAAATTGAATTACGTCCCAACGATTATTAGTGGCTTGTTTCGAGACGGGATTTTCCGAAGTGGGGCAAACCGAGTCAAATATAAGGAAAGGTATTCAGCGACGGTAGTGGATGAAGGTCACGTCATATTATGAATAGACAGAAGTAAGAAAATGTGAACCACTGAATATTGATCCAGAGACTCATTGGTAACGTGTTCACCGGGGAAATCAAGGGTCATAGATGCATACTGTTGGGCTGAGACACCTCTTCAATGCTCCCAGATTTCCAACGGTTATTCTGGGATGAATACTAACTTGAAATCAACCAGTCAATCCCCATAAATCTCCAAACCGAATAGTAAGATAATCGGTACCGGTATTAATTCTGTAATCCAGGGTTCGCGTTTAGATCATAAGCCAAGTAGTCTTTCAGTTTCTGTTATCTTTCTTCTAAACGGGCAGACTTTTCAGCAATAACATAAGTCACAATAAAATCTGAAACAATTCAGTCCTCAGCTTGCTGTTCGACCTGACTTTCTTAAAAGTTTAATCCCCATCTTTTTTCAATAAGTTAGCATTAAGTCTAGATAATCTAATCATCAACTCACCGGTGAATCAGTCCACTTACCTGTATTCAAGTATTCCCCACTTGTATCATCACTTACAGTGTCTGAGTTCTGTGAAGAAATATTTACATGATACGCGGAATCGCTATGCATACAATTATTGGACATTGAATAGTGTTGATTCCATTTTGTTAAAAATAGCTGCAAATAATTTTCATAATTTGAAATATATTCAACTTGTTTCATGTCATATGAAGAATCTGTATTCTGATTTAATTCTTTAGATGTATTTTGGAGACATGACAGCCGATTTATTGGAGTAGTATTTTGTACTAAACTATCCTTGAGAAAAATGTTGTTCAACCCTTGATCATTTGTCCAATCACTCATATTGTAAGTGTTAGTAGTATCTGAACACGAAGGTTTTAAGTCCATTATAGACGATATCATAAATGAATTCATCTTTTTGAATATGAATGAGATAAATAATTTTTTTTGTAAAGTAAAAAGGTTGAAATGAGCCATTTTGATTTAAAAATCGAGGTGATTTTAAGTAGACAAGATTGGCCAATCCCCTTTGTTGGAAATATTTCCTTAACATTTATTCCTACGGTAGAAAAAAATTACTTTAAGCTTATTGGTTAATAAATATGTACACTCATTACACCATCTTTATCTTTACTTTCCCCGGTGTATCCTACAACGTTTTGCTCTGAGAAGTCAAGTGAATTCATTCCTTTGGGCAACTGATACTTCAACAGCCACATACTCTCATCTAAAGTGGTTGATCGAAGATAATGAGAGAGAAAGGAAAGGAATTAGACGAATCAACTTCCTATTAGTTAAGAATATTAAATTCGAATTTTTTTAAATCCAGTGATGAATTGTTTGGGTAACTCCAAAGCCCACTCTAGCAACAATTGAAATAACCAATTACTTTTCATTACTTCGTCTGGAAAAGCAGATCTTCATAGAATACAGAAGTCCAATTGGCTACTTCAGTTCCTGTTACAGCCACTCCGTTGTTTGATGACATTTGTCACCATATAGTTCTATCTTGTCAACACTGCACACTGACGGATTCATTCTCAGCTGCGCCAGGCCTCGGATCAGTAGCATTAACTTCCAAAGAAGAACAAAGTGATAGGCAGCTTCGATGGGAATAATCAAAACTTTTCATAAACGCAATGTGAGATTAAGTAATCCGTTTTAATGACAAAGGAAAAGGTCTAACTATCTAATTGAGATGGCTTTTATCAGGTTCAGTTGTACTGGTTATTGATTATCTTGAAAGTGAGTTAAATATTAATGTTACTCTTCATGTGGATCAAACGACTAATGATCGAATTGTCGATGCCGTAGCAGGAAGTTTTATCTTAATACCAATAACCTAAAGTTCAGTAACATTCAATACTGAGTACTAACCTTCGCATTTCAAGTGGACTTATCTAACTAAAGGTAACGTTTCAGGCATCTGTCTACAACAATGGAGTTGACGTTCTCCTGATCCCGCATACTCACGAGTATCATGGATTAGTGATTGACATCGGCATATATATAGATTAAACGCCCAGTAACAAAAATAATCTACGAGCACTAGAGATGTATACTTTCTAGGGTGTTCCAGAATGTAGGGAGTAACCTGTATTACGGCTTTTTTGAGCACATAGGAATTGGTAAGCACTCTATGAGGTGAAATGAAACGGACGTAGGCAACCCTTGTTTGAACTACCAAACACAGTGCTTGATACAGTGTGACTAGTTTTAATTAGGCAAACATGTCACTGAGCGCATACTTATGTCACTGAAAATTTTTCGTAATAATCCAGGTTGATATGAATTTAGTTGCATAAACATCAGTTTATTCAAGAATTTACTCATTGCAGCTTTAGAGAAGGTCTATGTTTATCCATGAAATTGCATTTTTGGAGCAGTAGATGAATACTGACAGTAAGATTCAACTCAAAAGGAAGAAAGGTCACAATCATACAATGTTATGCACCTACAAATAATGCAGAGCAAGAGAAAAAGGAGGAATTCTACAGACAACTTCAATCAACACTGGACAAGACGTCAGTTGGCGATATCAAAATTCTAATGGGTGGGGCGACATGAATGCCAAACTGGGAGCAGACAACACAGGAAGAGAACTAACCATGGGTCGAGAGGCGCTAGGTGAAATGAATGAGAATGGAGAATTGTTTGCAGAATTCTGTGCATTCAACGATTTGGTGATTGGAGGCAGTGTGTTCAGGCACAAGGATATCCACAAAGCGACATGGATTTCACCAGATGGACACACCAAAAATCAAATCGACTATATCTCAACCTCAAGAAAATGGAGACGCAGTCCACTTAACACAAGGTCAAGAAGAGGAGCAGATGTAGGTTCATACCACTCACCATCTAGTGCAAGGAACCTTCCAAATCACGTTAAAAGCCTTCAAGGAAGCTGGTGATAGACCTCAATTCAAGTACAACACTCGGAAACTGAAGGATGAAACTACAAAGGAAATCTCTTCACGACAGCCAGCCATCAAGACGAAATGGGAGACATCGAGCAACATCCCGGAAGAAACCTGTGTGGAAGAACACTGGAAGTCTTTGAAAGCTATGTGGAAAGAAACCTGCACATCAGTATTAGGAAGGAAGAAGAAAGAAGACAAGGAATGGATCTCGACGGATACCTGGAAGCTGATAGAGGAGAGGAGGATGGTGATGGTGAAGCAGAAGATAAACCAGTGCAAGGATGCTCAACGACAAGAGGAACTGAGCACAATGTATAAAACACTGGACAAAGAAGTGAAGAAGAGTGCACGCAAAGACAAAAGACACTTCTACGAAACACTGGCAAGTGAAGCAGAACAGGCTGCAGGTAAGAGAGACCTGACGACATTGTATCAAATAACCAGGTTACTATCTAGCAGGGAAGAGATCAACACAGATGAAACCAGTAAAAGATGAGGAATGAAATTTAATTAGGAAAGAAGAGAAACAGAGGAAACGATGGGCCGACCACTTCAAGAAGCTCTTGAATCGACCACCACCACCACCTGCACTTCGTCCAGAAATACCACCTGCAGCCGCTGAATTACAAGTGAACATTAACCCCCCAACGAAAATGGAAGTCCTGAACGCCATAAAGCTACTGAAATGCGGGAAAGCAGCTGGACCAGATGGAATACCGCCAGAAGCACTGAGAACAGATGCAGAGACAACAGCGGACATGCTCACACCACACCAATATTGCAGAAGGTGTGGAAGGAAGAGAAGGTACCTGACGATTGGAAGAGGGGTTACCTTGTCAAACTGCCGAAGAAGGGAGACCTCAGTGCTTGCAAGAACTGGCGCGGAATCACTCTCCTGTCCACCCCAAGTAAAATATTAAGCCGCATCATCCTAGAGAGGCTTAAAGATGCACTGGATTCAAAACTGCGACCGGAACAGGCAGGCTGGTTTCAGGAAGTACAAATCATGTGCAGACCAAATTGCAATGCTGCACTACGCATCATCATAGAACAGAGCATAGAATGGCAATCAGCTCTCTACCTCAACTTCATCGACTTTGAGAAGGCCTTTGACAGCGTCGACCGAGAAGTAATTTGGAAACTGCTTCAATACTACGGAGTACCGCAAACCTTCATCCGCCTCATTCAGCAACTATATGAAGATGCCACATGCCAAGTAATCCACAATGGGAAGCTCAGTGATGATTTTGAAGTGAAGTGGAGACATGAGTGAAACAAGGTTGCCTACTATCAACCATGATATTCCTGATTGTGGTGGACTGGATCATGCAGCAAACAGTAGGCAGCGAGAAGAGGAGGATACACTGGACGGCGGAAAAGAACCTAGAAGACTTGGATTTCGCCGATGACTTGTGCCTGATGTCACACAAACTTGAAGATCTGCAGGCAAAAACTAACAAGTTGATAGAAGAGGCAGCGAAGACAGGACTACAGGTGAATATAGAGAAGACAGAAGTGATGAAGATACCGCACCACCACCATCAACAACAACAACAAACTCCAGTCACCATCAACGGGAGAAACTTAAAGGAAGTAACCTCCTTCACTTATCTAGGAAGCACTGTTTCAACTACAGGCGGTGGCGGCACAGACGAGGACGTCAAAGTCAGAATCGGAAAAGCAAGACAGGCGTTCATTAGCCTGAAACCAGTGTAGAGATCTTCTGCACTCAGCATGTGGAACAAGATCCGGATTTTCAACACCAACGTCAAGTCAGTGCTCTTGTATGGCTCAGAGACTTGGCGCGTCACGAAAGGGATTTCCAATAAACTACAGACATTCATCAACAACTGCTTACGCTGGCTCGCTACTGAAGATCAGATGGCCAGAATAGTCGGAATAAGCAACAAGGAACTCTGTTAACGAACCAACCAAGAAGCTATCACGCAACAAATATGCAGGAAGAAGTGGAGATGGATTGGCCATGCACTGAGAAGGCCGAGTGGGGACATCACGCGCCAGGTCCTCGAGTGGAATCCCCAGGGGAAGCGACGAGTTGGACGTCCGAGGTGACGGTGACATGGAGGAGGTCGTGCGAGGAGGAAATGACAGCTTGTGGGCTGTCGTGGAACCAGGTTCAAAAGATCTCAGAGAACAGGATGAAATGGAGGCGTGCTACTGAAGCCCTATGTTCCACTAGGAACCCAAGGGACTAATAATAATAATAATAGATGAATACTACAATCTCTCCGTAAGATAACAATCAATCAGTTGTGCCTTTTACATACCACCGATCTAAACAACTGGCATAAAGAAAAACGAACATGCACTTCTTCCTCATATACAGTATGGTTTCGGGGAAGACTTTGAAACGGAATTGAAACTAAGGTCTACTTTGTGGTCAAATGCTCAAGTATAAGTCGCAGATCTCAGAAGTGACCATTTAGACGCCTGCATTGTCCAGGTATCTATCAACTTCAGCCAACATTCTGGTATGTTAATCATTCTGTACAGTTGAACTACTGGTGTCAGTGTCATGGATTATTTTTTGATCCTGCAAAGAATAAAGAGACAACGGTAATCAAGCTTCTGAATGTTTTTTGGTCAATGCAGTAACTTTCGTTTTTTCTTCCTGTTTTCTGGTTCAACAGTGAACGGAATCAGTTTCAGGGCAATACTCATCAGAAAACAAAATCAATCGCAGAATAGTTTAAAACTGAAAAGCATCGGATATCATCACCAACCGTTGTCTTCGAATGAACTACTACACATCGAGTTGATGGAAACTGTATGACTTAGAAGAAAATAAAAATTTAGGAACAATAACTGGATTACATGGGAAAAAAAGGATAAATTTCACCAACAACGAATCTCATCAGGATATAACACATCAGAATCATACACTGCAGATTATCCATTTCATCCGACATGTGTTCCCCTCAATCTCAAGTGTCCATACACACAGAATATTTAGGCCTTTAAAATGACAAATCG